ATAACTCTTTGTTAATAAGTTATATCTCTCCAGACCCATAAAGCCTAAGGCAGTCAGTGCAGTAGTCTAGGATCTAATCTAGGTTCCTAACGCAGGTGGAACAAGGAGGCAGGAAACTGACTTGACATTTGACATTTGCTCTAAGCCTGCTCTGGATCAAGCCACTGCTTGTTCACAAGTGCTTTATTTCATATAGTAAAGGTCAGAATTTGGGCTCAAGGCAGGACTATGACAGAAATGCTCAAATGGAAACTGAGCCAGCCCTGGCATCTGTCGCTTGAAATAGCTCAGGAACAGCAGAGATAGAGAGCTAACCGGCTAGCATCTGTCCCACACCAAGGAGGTAACAGGAAGAATCTGCTGCCTGGTGGTAAGAAACTGTCATGGTGAGTTTCATGACAACCAGCCACACTCAGAAAACAAAAACGCAAACATAATTTCCATGTCACCTTGCATAAGGCCGTCTGTTAAACTCACTCCACAGGATGCAGACAATATCATTTCTAGCTTATTCTCATCAAAGCAAGCCACTCACTCATTTCTTCCTAGTGACCCTGGTAAGAAAAACTACTCAAAGTAAAGGCCTAAAGGAATTAAAGGCAGACTTCTTGGTCTCTCCCTCTCTCCCACCTTCCCAATTCTTCAAAAGATTTGCTGCTAATCATAGCTGTGCCTGCATTCTGTGGTGATGCAAGACTTCATCTCCTTGTTACAGACATCACAAATTGGGCAGAACACCCTCTATATAATGAAAATCCTAGTACTTAAAGTTAGTCTTTGACAAGGTACACACAGGCCTTCCTGCATCTCAGCTCTTCCAGAAAAACAACTATTTGTTGTTCTCTAGGCTACTTCAGGACTAGGGAGGCAGTAGGTAGGTTTTACTCCATGGAAAGTAAATAATACGGTTACTGCATTCTAGGAGAAATAAAATAATATATTGTCTCTTCCCATTGTCATTTAGGAGCCCAGAATTTTATAATCAACTCATCTAGAAAAGCCCAAGCATAGTTATACAACTGATGAGTTTTAGATATCCTGGCCAACCTGCGTGTGTTATGCATTCTTATCTCTGGCTAAATCTGTAAGTGACATGCCATTTCAACTCTCATTAAAGAATTTGGTTGTACAATTTAAATTCTAAAGACATATAGGCAAGGTCTATGCTGCCCTAAGCTACAGGCCAATGAACGGGCCTTGTAGAGGCTAAGCGTTCCTTGCCTTTGGTTGCTCTCCACATTGCCAGATACAGCTTCATCACCGTGTACAACCACCCAAACTCAAGCTACGTAAGATGTTCACCTAATCTTGCAGAATGTGCTGTTTAGGACCTTTGGCAAAGACTCAGAAGGTAACTTGTCTGTTCAGCATAAGCCATGTGATGGCACTAGAAAAACAGATAGGATATATTGTTCTAAACTCAGGTAGCACACAGGCAGATGCGTGCTCTGGCTACTCTGAAAAGTTAAGCTTTCTCTGTGTTATCTCCAACTTGCCTGAATTAAAAATACAGTGATAATTACCCATGTCCTTCATCTCTGGAGATCCCTGAAATTTACCAAAGTCACAGCCTTCACATAATGTTTCTTCAACTAATCACAGCATGCCAAAGCATGTCTTCTTACAAACTGAACTACATATGCCTGGGCCTAGTTACCAAGAATGTTCTTCCCTCTACACTTGGAAGCTGTGTCCCATGGTAGTGGGCACTGCATAAAAACTCGACTTGTGGAAAAGTTTTCCTTTTGGAACGTGAGGTTCTGATGTTCCTGAGAAGCAGCAGCCATATGGTGATACAGCAACACAGATATTGAATGGTTCAGATTAAAATTCTGTCTATATCAACTAATCATTTGAATGGTAATTCCAAAATCTGCCACAGACCTAACAAGGCTTTACACTTACTAGGAACATAACTTCACTGTACAGACCACCCCATTTTTTTCAGTGCCTAAGTGCTTCTCTTTACTCTAAATCACATGAGTTTCTGGTGCAAGATATACTTGGACCATTTGACTGTTGCACCAAAAGCAGCTAATCCTGAAAAAAATATGTAGAAAAACAAAATCTATTTCCTTGTATTTAGAAAGATCATCTCTTTCTTTTTTCAGATAAACTACCTATAAACTCAAAAGCTATTTTAATGTAATTGTGTTTAATCAAAATGTGATTTTCATTCACTGGAAGTACAGGCAATTTAATACAATAACACAGACAAATAAACTCATTCACAGTGGAACATACACTGCAAGTGCCACTTTCTCTACAGATTATACAATTAGTACACTAAATCCTGTATACATCAATAAACATGTAAATTGATAAAGCCATAAGCTTCTACTGGACACCAGAGTCTTACAAACAGTGTTAATTCTTACAAAAATTATTCATTGTTTCAAGAAGTTTCGCAGAACAGTCTGCAATTTTATTTACTTTTAAAAAGAAAGGCCTGCTCTCAAAAACCAAAAGAAAAAAAAATGAAAGAAACGCATTAAGCAATTATAGAAGCACACCAATCCAACTGGGGCACTACGACCAAAGCAAGCCCTGTAATAGTATAATGACCTTTAATGAGTGTCTGGGGAAACAATACAGTCCTAGAACAAAAGACAAAGGGCAAAACCCATCATGGCTCCACTGACACTAATTCAAAATGATTTTCAGAACAACTAAAGAATGTAAGAGAGGTAATCTGATCCACCAATCTGACCTCACTTTGATTCTGGGGCCCTGCTGCTGCCATTTCTAATTGTCAAACACTCTACATTTCACATCTGCTCATATTTAATGAAAAGCTGACTCTCACCACCATTCTTTGAGTTAACTAGCTCTGTCAAGATGGGCATCATACGACCCCTGTGCACTGCAAGGAAAACACAGTGATTTCTATTGAAGCCCTGCCAGTGAAATTTTGCACATGTATATATATTTTTTTAATTGGAAAAGAAAGGCTTATGTTGGTCTGTAAAGAGCTTGAATTGGTATTGATTTTTCTTACTTATTATTACCAGTCAAAGGTGGTAGTCTCACAAGGGGAAGAATGAGATCTCTTTTGATTTGATGGAGTGATGAAGGGGGGAAAAGGCCCTTGAAAGAGAGGATGCTAAAAATCCTCAAAGCTGTCAATATCACTTATGTTTCAGAACGTAACATAGATTTTAACATGTTTCCCAACAGGATTGTGTTTGATGGCAATAATATCATGCACAAGAGGTTTTTGGCTCAGCAGGCAACACAATCAAAAATGTTCTCTTTTCTGCCTCTGCACGGTCTTAAGTGAACTGGAAAGCTACAGTAAACCTACAAATTATGGTTTTTCTTTCCTTGCCAAACACTACTAATGGCAGAGATTTCACCTATTTGCAGGGGACATATTCATTTAGCTCTGTCTGGTTGCTGTTAACACCAGTGCTGGGACCCAACCACATAATCTCTTTGTACTAGTCTGTATTAATGCAAGCAATACCAGACGCTGTTACAGAGGCTATTAAATTGTGTAAGTAACACTGTCTGCAATAACTCTCAATCCATGAAGATTTCTCAGTCATCATTCTTAACAAACCAATACGGCTACATCTTACACAGATACAAGGCTCTCTAAAGGATAAAAACTCTTGCAATTTATAACAGGACTTAATACTGGCAGTTATCTCCCTTGAGGTGATACACGAGTTGCAACTAAGTAGAGAAAAAGAACATTCAGAATGCTTACACACACATACAGAAAGAGGCTTTCTGGCAAAATCTCTAAGAAGTCCCACTAGAGTCAGTCCAATCAACGCCATATTCAGCCATAAAAATACTACTGCACTATTGGTATATACTCCACATCTGCATCTGGATCAATAGTTCAAATGTCAAAACAGTTACAGCAAAGTCGTTCACCAGGTGGACTGCATACCGTAACACACATGTGGCATCAAAGGCAACCAGATGCATAATCTAACTACGTTATATTCTTAGTATAGATGGCATTTATATTTGTCATGACTTGTACTGTAAAGCAGACATGCTTCCTATATGCTTCTAATATTTCTTCTAGATGTATCTGATTTGTCAGTTTTTTCTTTTCCACTAGGATAGGGAAAGGAAAACAATCCCTGTCCTGAGACATAGTTTTGCCTGTTATGGATATCTGAAGAGGATAAGTAAAGGAAAAATTATCATCATCTTTAAATTATCATCTTCCTCAACTGTTGACAATACACTGATCAAGGTAGCTTCAGAATCCCAGCCACTAGCCCAATGAATTAATGGCTACTCAGAATTGTTTTAATTTCTCACTTTTCCCTTTCAACCTCTGATCTTTCAAAAGAGCTTGACTCTTTTTATGCAGAGGTAGCTTGTGAAAGAATATAGAGGAGTGAGGAAGGTTGCATTAGGGTAACCCTACTAAAAAGAATTACAAAAGGTACAGTTTCACTAAGATTTCTGGGGTTTCAGTGTTAGATGGAAGGTCCTGCCTTACTGAAAATGAAGGGCTACAAAACAAAGTCAAAGATAATGGCAATATAAAACACAGTTTCAGCTACTACAGTTCAGCTGCCAAACTGTATCCTGTATATTTATTCACTGCCGTTGTATGCCGGTTTAGTGCCAGCACTATTAAAGCTGCCCACTTAGCACTGGTCATAGATTTGGACACAGACCCGTTCCTTCAACCGTTAAAAAGCATGTACTGTACTGTTTAATTAATGACCATTTATATTGTATGAATTAAATAAAAAAGATGTCACCAAACTGCACTACTAAGGTCCCGCATGCTATTGCAAGAGCATGCTTTCTAAAGAGCACATAAAGCAAAATAATGAATTACATTTTTATATCAAAAATAAACAAAAACAGAAAAATAAATGAGATATGTATTAAAACTTGGTTTTGTTTTTTTTTAAAAGCATCAGCCCAGTAAAACTCACAGAACTACAATGTACGACACAAGACGGGGATGATACCACAGACACCACAGACATGGAACAGCATGTGTTGGTGTTAAAACTTACAGGCACGTAAACTGGTGGAGCAATCATTAACAGAGACAGAAGAAAGTGGGAAGGCTCTCTCAAGGGTGTCCATGTTACTATGTACACTGCCTGACATGCAAGAGCAGTCACGCTCAGAGCGTCCGCAATCAAAACAACATGCCAGTTTCATTCTCTTGTAGATGGACATCTTGGCTATAATCATGTGTTGGATGGGAGGAGAGGAAGAGCAGCAGGTTAATGGCAAGGTTATATATAAAACAAGGCAGCTGGAAGGTAATTTAAGGGATTTAATACAGGCCTTAGTTTATGTTAACAGTCTTGACCCAGGGAAAAAAAAAACAATGAGATTATTGAAAACATTCTGGCTGTACATTAAAAGTAGGGCAAAAGATAAATTATTCTTTATTTCTCGTCAATCTTATAGCGTGATCCCAGACATGGGGAAGAATTACTGATTACAATCAAGTGTTTGGATTAAAAAAGAATATAATAAAAGAAGAAAATCTTACAAATATATTATTCCCATGGCACAATTAATGCTGCTAGGCCAAAACAAGAGAACATATTAAAGCTGCTAATGCGTTAGATATTTTTGGCCTACCCTGCTTCCTGTAAAAATCAAAGATATTTATACATATATATACACACACACACACAGAGGAAAACACACATACACACATATTCTCACATACACACACACACATATATATACATACGTACATGTGTGTGTGTGTGCGCATGTGTGTGTGTGTGTGTGTATAATCCTCAGACAAATGCTAACATTTTCTTAGTATTACACTGTGCCAAGGAACTCCTTAACCGCATTAAATTACACGTTACTGTAGAGTTATAAGATGTTCATAAAATTTCCTGAAAGATTTACTTAGTTTACATTGCATCTTCAGGAATTCAAATAAACTCTTTGACAGAGTACCAAAATTTGTCCATATAAGAGAAACAACTAATAATGGCAGATATACTTGACATTAAAATCAGTTCACAAATAAGGCATCACCAAAAGCACACAAAGCATTGGTACACTGGAACATGGTGAACCAATCATTGGCATTTTTTCTGCTCTGAGTAGTATTGAATTTGAACCATGCAACTGGATTCAAAGGTAGATCAAGAAGCAAATAACAAAATGCACAATTAGGTGCTAATTCCAGGAAGAGTGGCAGGCTGGAATACAACATTTCTATCCTTTAGTCATGGGAAGGATACTATCCTTGTTATGTACTTTTATAAATTTACATCATGCTATTTTATAATTGCATACATAACTACCATTGCACAATTTTGTACATTACCTTAATCATACACAAGTTTAAACATGAAGAAATGCAAAGGCCACTTAAAATTGTTTCACATGTTGCACTGAACCAACACTTTTGGTAATGGTTTAGATTGAACTGACTCAGTTATACTAAAAACAAAACAGAACACTGACAGGTAAAAACAAAACTTTAAAAGCAAATGCAGAAAAAAGGTAATGTTTCTCTGGCCTGCATCTTCAGTTTAGGATGTCTTTTTGTATTATGTTAACGATGTTAATTTAAAACGTTTTCCCTTATTTTTGCCATTTTTAATGCTACAGTCACCAGGGAAGAGGGACTGAAATCTCTGAAATGGGTCAAGTTCTGTTCTAAGGCCTTGATGACTTGCCATACAGTATATTTGTCAAGCAAGGGTAACATCATGATTGTGGAAAACAGGCACTGAGGGAGATGAATGAGTGATCTCTTCAGCAGCGACTCCATTCCTCTAAAACTTTGCTCACATGACTAGTGGCACGTTCCTTTAGCATCCTAGTAGAGTTATCTTATAGCTGTTCAGAAAGTCATCATGCAGCATCAGACTTGTTCATTGCATGGTACATCATTCCTCAGAGCTTGGCTTTTAATATGAAGGCTTCCACTGCAGCTTTTGGTGCATACACATTCAGACTACACAGAAAATTCAAAACAGCATTTGGTATCCTACGGTTTCCCTCGCTCTAACTTTTCCCAATGTATCCTTTAAAATTGAAAAGTTGGGAGCAGAAAAAGTGAAATATTTTAATCAAAAAATGTGGAAGTGTTCCCATTATGCCTATTTTTATTATTTTCACTTTCAGGAAACAAAAGAAAAATAAAGGGCAATTGTAAGACACACTAGCAATAGGTGAGGGAAAAAGGAAGGCCCATTTTGTTTTAATTACAGCTGTTTTGAAGGACTTTTTCTAATAAAATGCTGTAGCAAAACACGCTGCCCAGAAATTCTCAACTGCTATGTTCTTGGTTAGCAACAGTCCCTGGTTTTCATTTACTTGTAGCCATATCTTGTCAACAGTCAATAATAGGATATGACACGTTTATTAAAATTAAAAGAAATCATCCTTAAGGGCAAGGAAGGCTGGGAAGGAAAACTTTTTGTACATTTTCATTGAACTTAAACCAATGAAGTGGGAAATTTAAGCCCTTCAGTTCAGCAGGGGAAGTGAGTCCATAGCACTTTTCAAAAATAATGCCCTTTCAGGGACTGTTTTTAACTATCATTATCAGTTGTTCTGGAGATCATGCATCATTTTAATATTTCACATCATTAACATGCAGGAAATGGGCTAGAACCTGAAAATATAAGTAGCAGAAAGGACTTGCCATAAGGGTTTCGAACCAGTATATAAGCAATTGCATATCAGAGCAACATATTTTATAAAGAAAAACATGCTGTTACTCTTCATTCCTTTTATACAGTCATTGTTACATTCATACCAAATACAATATTCATTTTTTAATAAAGCAAAACACGGAATATTAGTAGGGATGACTAGTGAAAAGATCAAAGACAAGACAGAAATGATTTTAAATGGTTCAGCCACACACGTACCACTCCTATTAAACTTCCATAAACATTAACAAAAAATGAGAATCATCAGAGAGACAGGGGGACCTTAAGAACAGCGTCTGGGTAGGTGTTAAATTCATTTGACACTTGTAGCTCCTGCATAGAATCAACTCATTTCTATTCATAGAAATGTTTTGGATGTCAAATAGAGCTGTTATTTGCAACTACTAAACATTAAAGTTGGGACATAAAGTAAAGTACTTCCTAGTTTCAGCTGAAGAATAAACGGATAGAAAGGAAGAACAGCTCCTTCTGCTTAGTATGATTACCATCTCATAGCATTTGTAAAATGAATTAATAAATGTATGAGGGGAACTTATCACAGATAGAGATATCAGACTAATTAAACTGACAAAACAAGGTGTAACTGAACAATAGTAATTTTCCTGATCAGTTATGGCCAAAAGGAAAACAAAATTTCTGCCAATTATTTATTAAAAATAAATATTCTATAAAAAGTATTTTTGTTGCAATTTCTCTCAGAAGACAATAGCCTTCCATTTTAGTATAGGAGGAACGTGCCTTAGATATCTGGGTTTCCAGCAATACCTGGCTTTCTGATCTCAAAAACACAAAAAGCCCAGTCAACATTTCTAGAAGATTTTTGGATCTGAGGTGCTGCTTAAAGTTCACAAACAGTAATGGGGTATATTTCCAGCTGCAAAAATAAGCAAAGGAAACTGCAAATTATTTTCTACCTATGATGTTAAAGAACAGTTCCTTTTTTAAAGGAAGCAGAACAAAGTACCCCTTCATCTTTGCCGACTGCTTGTTTTTGTTTTTCTTTTTTTTTAAACCACGCAGTCTATCCAATCCTAGTATTTTACCCCTCACTAAAGTTTTCCTTATGAACTTCAATGGCTTAAAAAAAAAAAGGTAGTTCTATGAGGACATCTAGTGGATCTCTATGAGACAACAGCTCATTAAAAAGCATCCAAATAGGATGATTCTTGACCAATAAATCGTAAACAAGATCCCAGCTACGATTAAGAACTGAAATGGACACAATCTCCTTTCAATTCAGCAAGTTCTCATGATCCACAGTAGGAGTAAAATAACAACAAAGGGGAGTTTACAAAGAAATTACGGTACAAAACAACTAGCAGCTTTAAAGGAAGACCAGACTGATCTGATTGCCTTTTAGCGACGTTGGTTAGCATTATGAGACTAAAGTATTGAAAGGACTTCCCCCAGCACAATTTCAGTTTTCTTAAAAATACAGCAGCATATTTTAAACTGTTTGTGACAATTTTCTCTTAACACAACAGGCAAAGCTATCTCTCCATTATTTAATTGTTATAGAACAACTTTAAGACCATCGAGCCAGCTTGTTCACTATCTCGCAATTTTTCCGAAGTTCTGACTTTAAATGATGTTAATCAGGGGTAATTGGTTAGTTCTTTGCTATAATTTATATGATACTGTTCTTTGTCAAAACTGTAGAAATTGCAGGTGGACATTCTACCCTATTTTAGTAACTTTAAGAATGACTTACAGGTTTTGAATTAATGACACATTTATAGACCAATTCATTTTAATTTTTATCTCTCATCATGACCTTTCCTGCATTACCTTAAAGAAGACTCTCAGTCAGTGTGCTCTCAAAACTAACTACACTTCTGAACAGACTGAAGCTATTGGGGAAATGGAAAAACCCAAGTCTAAGATACATGACCCTTCTTTAAATACTCTTTTAGCATGAAGAGCTCAGCTATTCAGATATTATTGTTATTCAAATTTACTTCTCTGGCCTTGCCTGTCCAGAAAGGCCTCAATAGAGAAATGTATTGTGTCTGTGGGTAAAAGTGTCCATCCCAAACTTTAAGCAAAAGCACGACTAATTAAACATCAATATATCCAATTTATAACTGCAAAAGCAAGGGTCACTTTGAACATTTTTCATCAGCAGCTAAGCAGGCAAACAAATTCTGATTGTTAGAAAACTTATCCGGTAGCACTGATGGAAAAGGCAGTACTCAGATTGAAATTTGCAGGGGATAATGTTTTTAACATGAAAATTAGATGTAGAAATGATTGACTTCATGGGTCCACATTCTGTCACACAAGTGATTTACAAACAACCCTTGTATTTTTGCTTTTTAAATCTTACAGAAAAGGGTTGTTATTATTTTCAACTCTGTCATCTTGTACATGTGGTTTACAACGAGACCAAAAAAACAGATGAATTGGCAATGCTGAGTGGATGGTAACCTCCAGTATAAGGACAGGAACAAACTGCTCATGACCAAAGACTGGGAACTCTGACTGGCTGTGCAACCAAAGAATTACTAAAATGGAAACCTATCCATAATGCCTGAGAAGAAACACTTTGCAATGTTCTGTAAATTTATCTGAAACCAACATATATTGCAATAGTCCAAATGACTACTACGCTCATCTGCACTGGATTCCTTACTGCAGTAGGAATCAGAAATTTGTTTTCAAATCTGTTTCATTGAGACTGAGAATTTAAAAAAGAAAGTGGGGCCCTGTGTGTCTGTCAGGCTTTCTTTCGGATAATATTAGGGTAAGAGTCTCAGGATGGCAGTCCATGTCACACAGCTACTAACATTTTCAATAAAATCTCCAAAGTAATGAATTCAAGACTGAAAAATCCTTTCAAAATATGTTTTCAAGGTACCGACTTTATTTGGTGGAGTTGCAAATTATCAGTAAGTGGTCAATTCTGTCACCACTGACCATCTCAAAGAGGCAGTTTAATTAACTTGGTTCCTGAATTACCAGCAGGGATTACAACTGGTTTCTAGAAATTTCCAAAGCTCACATTTCTACTTTCCAAATTGCTTCCAATATTTTGCCTCAAACTTAATGAGAATTGTTATTTAAGCTATGTAAATTAGCTTCTTTCTGGTTTATTAAGACTACTATTTCTTATTATGCCAACCTGTCCTGACAGTCTGGGGTTTTTGGTGCTCCCCCATCTTTCTATGGTTTCCTTCTGTTGGCTGACAATAGATCTTTGAAGAGATCATTGCTCTGTGCTTGAGTATTTAGGCCCAATTAAGACCTAAATGGTTATCACAAAATAAATCTACAATACCTGGTGAAACGGTGAAAAAGCCACAGCTTGCTACAAAAATGGCTCACTGCAGCTGTGAAATATCTGATCCCTCTTGATGTTGAAAGAGCAAGTCCATATAAGCCTGTTATTGGCCTATAGCTTTTTTTTTTTTTTGCGGTGATTATATTTCTAAGAAGCAAATCCTTTTCATCTCCCAAATGCTGTATTTATTTTAACTACCATGACTTTGCACAAAAAGTGGCTGACTGAGAGCCTTCATAGATACTGTAGAATTAAAAGCGGTATGACTCAGATTCACATGAAGTGGTCTATAAAGTCTATATATATAATAAGTGTAAAACCTTACAGATAAGGTCCTGTAAAAGACAGTGTCAATCTTCTCATGTAATTAGCAAAGCAAAACTGTTATAGCCTAGGGAAAATAATCACTGTAGCTTGTCTCCTGGTAAGGATGGTTGTAGGTTTATACATCAGAAGTTAACCATACAGTTAATTCATTGTCTGGCTTTCCTCCCATCTCCTTTTTTTTTTTTTTTTGATGCGGAGAAAAGAGTAAGATAAGGGCAGTAAAAGACTGCTGTGTTGTCCTTTGTGTCAGCTATGTGTTGGAAGAGACAAAATACAGAAAACTGAACACTGGTCTGACAATGAATTGCACTTAACCAGGCAAACAGTGCTATAGTGATGATTACCCCAGCCTCACTGACAGTCCTAAGAATTCACGAGATACCTCCAGAATCATTTCAAGGAAATGACACTGCCATGGTATCATTTTCAATTAAAATGATTAAAATAAGGTTGTGAAAAAACTGTGTTGAAAAGGTGGAAGAAGGGAAGACTGCTGTATTTTCTTCAACGTCGCCCTAATCTGTGTTGGTGTAAAGGATGATAAAATTGTGGGTATGACGTCACTGCTACATGCAACATAAATAAAGAAAAGAACCAAAATACTGAACAAAAATATTCTCTGCTAGAGAAAGACAGGTTGGACCGCACTCTGGGCTACAGGGAACCCATTTTTACTCACAATAGATCACTATCAGTGTGCAGTTAAAATATAGTAGGGGCCGTGTTCCAAGGCAGCAAGAGGAAAAATAAATCAAAAGTTTGTCAATTGTCATAGATTATAAGAAATTCCTTCAAACACATCAATGTACACATGATATGTCCCCTCAGGGGTTCAACCCCCACTGTTCACAGCAAGCACTGTCACTGGAAAAAATATATAGAGAATTAGATCACAGCTGTTACATAAAATGAAAGAAACAGGAGGAGTAGGTCATCCAGTTTAGAGATTTCATTCCAATGTGGCTGCAATTTTATATAAACATACACATGTATTTGGCTCCTTGCTGAAAAAACTACAGTTAAATTGAATAGGAAAGGAATTGAAAACATTCCAAAAAATATTAACAATCTGTGAATAAAAATTCCACACAAGCATTTCTCTGGACAACATGACATCAACATTCATAGGTTATTCAGGGAGCAGGATGGGTAAGGAGAAAGAGGAATGGCAGAAACTGCAAAAGGAAAGCAAGGTTACTTTAATCATCCCTAGCCTTGTGGAAATGTACTGTTCTGCTCTGAATTATTAATATTAGGCCTAACAGCTTTGGACAAATGGCTATGTAGGTCAAGCTCACTTTTAGACCTCGACAATACCACAGCTAATGTTCAGACAGTATCTAAATTGATGTGAAACCTCAGATGCATTATTAAACAACGTGGTTTTCAAGTGTCACAGGAAGCTGCATTAATTAATGCCGAAATACTTTAGATTTCCATGCAAAGGAGATATTCTTTCACATTCATTCACTTGAATGTGCCAATATTTTTATGCACAACCTTTCATTTCATCTTACGTATCTTCCACATTCTGCTGTCTCTAATTGTTATTATATTGCTCAGTAATTAAAATATATATATTTATTATATCAGCTTACACATGTGCGTGTGCGTGAATATTTCCAGTGTCTCTGAAAATCAGACCGACAGATTAGCTGATGACGCATTAGTTGACAGTTTCCTAATTCCATGGGAAAAGTGTTTTTTAAATTTATGCTTTGTTTTGGTTAGACTGCATTTTAAGACCAACAATTTGTGTGGCTTACAAACGGATAACACAGCTAAGATTTTCAAAAGTGATTAGTGATGTGAAAGCTCAAGCTAAGATGCTTTAACAGGGTCTGAATTGCAGACCGCACTAAAGATGTACCTTTAATAATAAAAAAAAATCAGGCCCTGCAAAAGGGATCTCAAGATTGTCATCAAAATTCAAGAGACCAAAAATCACGAATTACTGTTGAAATTTTTCATTTAAAGGGTTTTGCAGATTGATAGAACTTTAAAAGCAATGCAACTATATTATTCCTAATAGTTATGGACATGCTGGTAAGTGGGAAGCTGTTCTCAGCTGTACGTAAAGCTGCCAGCTATCATGGTGTCTGCAGCAGCATGCGTGTGTGTATATGGGAGGGGAGAGGGGAAGGAAAGGAGGGGGGAAGAAGAGGAGAGACAATGAAAGGGGAAATTTGCAATTTTACTATTACTGACCTTTTTTGCTTTTCCACCTGACTCCCAGGATTACCTCCTTAGTGCTCAGCGTTCACTGCAGCAACTCTGACAGCCTCCTTCTTCGGCCTCACTGACCCCATCATTTCATTTCTACATCTGTCCAACACCCTTTCATTTATTGGACTGATATGTGTGACCATGCCATTTGGAACATTTCCTAGTGCTACACACAGAAGTTGTCACTCTCATCCCTCCACGGCTTTACTGCTGGTAATAGACCTATTGTGTTGACTGGGCCACAGGCTGGGCCCGTTTTCTCCCTGGTTTCCCAGTACTGAGGGTTATGTTAATTTTCATGATCTTGCCCTTTATACTGTGATTTCCTGATTCCTATCTTCTAACTGATTTCAATGAAACGTGGCACAAAGAAGCTCTCAAATTCAAATGCCAAATCCTTTGGCAAATTTTCTGCAATTCAGTACGTGGAAACAGCATATCCTGTGTGAAGTGGGAGAAGAATGTACAAAAACACTGGCTCATTTTTGGCAGAATCAGCCAAAAGTAAACAGGTAACATAATTCTGCTTCTTGTTGGGCAATTTGGAAAAAAGATTGGGTTTGTGAGTTACAGGTACCTGAAGGCATCTGTAACTTACTTTACCGTAACTTAATCAGCAGTCTCATTGGCTTTGGCAGTAGTTCAAAGGTCACATTCTCACATGGCTAAACCGTTCTTGAGTAATTTTTTTTCCAAAATGTTAGGCAACACATGCATTCCTTCTACATCAGGCATGCTTTCCATGTGCTTTGCTCTCCTTGTGGCTACTGGGAGGAAAATCCCATTTTGATGAGAATCCCCAGTGTCTCAGCAACTCTTTCAATTATACTACTTTGTTCCTCATTCCTGTTTTTTGGGGAGAAGGGAGTTTCTTTAAAAACTTTAGTGACATACTGTTCCTTTTCAAAATCCATCTTCTTGAATTCATCAAGTTCAGGTGTCCCTTAAAGGTCCAATTTTAGCCCTTCTTTCCATCTTCCAAGAGAGTACAATGATAATACTATGACTGGATCAATCAATCAAGAGGGCTTTTGCCTTACAGAAGCAATGGGAGAAGAGAACATCTCTTCTGAGATATTTCAATTTACCTAGTCAGTTTATTTGTAATGGATATTCTTTTTCATGGTACAAGATCATGCAGTGCACATAAATATGCACATATTCATTGAGAAATGGTTCCAGCAAAATGTCCTTCAGAAGTATATAGATAAAATACTAATTTTTGAATACTTATAAAAATACAGATGCAAAATCTGATACCAATTCCAAAACTCAATTATTCATACACAATTTTCCACAGAATTTAAACAGCAGACCTAAGAATTTAAACCAAACATTAGCATTACAGCTATGGAACCTTCTGAAAGGAGAATGTCATATTTAAGAGGCATTGATAGTTCATTTCTTCTGGACAATAGCTTCCTCTAGCAAAATCAAAAAACTCCCAAACTCTGAGCAGATTCCCCTATGCGGAATCTCTGCAGTAAGGAACTTAGGTAGTTATTGTTGTATTTTATTTCAACAGTTACATGATGGAAAGTTATTCTCCAGTTTCTTTTTATATAGAATTGTATTCAGCAAAGAAGATAAAGTTCTTTACTTCACTGAAACTTACTGAAATTATTAAGATTTCTGCATGGTATGAATGAAAGTAGAACTTCACTGTTAACTCATGCTTAATTCAGATCTATCTTGATTTAATTCTTCAGCCTTTGTTAGTTTTGGGCCCTAATGGATTTTTTAATGAAGACACAGGTGCGAGTGACATGAAATTTAATTTAAAAATGTAAGCACTTCAGAAATGCAAATGGCACTTATGAACTGTGTTGCTGTGCAGTTATTTCTAGTTATTCTGCACCAGCGTGTAAAACATAAATGTATACAAAGATATTCTTCAACACTGAGCAGCTCATGAAAAGGAGAAGAAGGGAGCGATAGAAATATTACTTACGCCGTTTGCAGCCACATTTTTTTATCCTTTTGGGATCTGTGATGTCATCATGACAAGCCTTGCAGTAAAAAAATGCCCTAGAGAGACAGAATGGAAAAAAACTGACACATTTCTTAATCCATACAAATGAAATTAGTCCCATATTTCTTCTCGTTGCATTGCCAAATTAATGAAACATGCCGGTACTAATTTCCTTTAATCTTTGAAGAGGTTTAGACATTTAAAGTAGGAAATACTTTCTGCAAGACCATTCATTTCAAACACAAGACTTTCTGCTCCAAATTATTGTTTCTTTTAACATACTCTTACTTGGAAAAAAAAAAAAAACTGGGAGAAGGGTTTATGATTATGATACAGTATATCGGTTCATTTGCCTTTCATCTTAGAAAAGAGCATCGAATGAATTTTGTCATGAAAATACACAATGAGTTCACTGGTCTCAGTTCACTGGTAGATCCAGCAGATCTACTGGATAGTTTTTGTAAAGAGTATAGAATACTCTTGGTCAATTTTTCAGCCCAGTCACAAGCAGGTGCTCATTTTTGGTACAAAGAAATATTGCAATGATGTGGTCAATGTGACAACAGCCTCATGTATGCTGTGTCCAAAAGACAAAAAAGAAAAAGGAAAAATCCACCCAAAATAACTATGTTCTTAAAGCACCATACAAATGAAAGAATTGAGATAATCTTGCTTTGGACTAATTTTTTGTCTTTTCTAATTAGAGCAGAGCTGTATTGGTTTTGAATATAAAAAAAGCCAAAATCTCACAACAAACAAAAATAAGCAATTAAGAAAGTCACTCATCTAAGTCTCTATTTAATGTTTTTGCATATTAACTTACATTCTGATATCAAAGGGCTCACCACCAGGTGAAACACAAAGAGAACTAAGGAAGCAAGGAAGGGAGCATTCAACTTTACATACCATTAAACCAAAATTACTGTTTAAATAAATATGCAAACTGCCCACAGCAGATTTTAATCATGCTTGTCACGTTGACATGTCACTAAGGCTGCTGTGACACATTTCATGAGGATCACACAGCTGGCCTCTAGCTGGACAGTAACAGCTTACCAGGATTCTTTCTGGAATAACAGATAAAATATACCAGTACTTTTCCACCTGCTGAAATTTCCCTATGAATATTTCCATATTCAACAGAGACTCCATATCTACCTTTCCAACCCTCTCTGACTGCATACTTCTCAGTATAAGCTGACTGTAAGAACCAAAGGAGTCGCTTTGCAGCCAGCCATGGATTTTGCAGACAACATTGCTCATAGATAGCTGGGCTCCTACAATAGTAGAGAAGTCACTGGAATAGAACAATCTACAAATCAAAGTATAAAAAGAAAAATAAACAATTGATACACAGCAGTGAGTCTTGGGCAGGTCCAATAGGTTTATCACTACTTATTTTTAGATTAATTAGACAGTGACCAATATAGGTGGAATTAGATTAATGGAGGCATTTGGAAGCATGAACTAAGAATCTAACCCTATAAATAGCTACAAATTCATCTAAATTATTTCACATTTCTGACTAATGGCCCTGGTAATTTAAGTAACTTGACAGAAGAAAGGCAGCAGGCCCAGTATATGAGGTAGAGATTAGACATCTAAATTTGCAGCACTACCTCACTGAATGTTATTAACATTTTTACATTCAAAGTAGCAGGCAAGACACTGAAGGAAGATATAAGTCCTAAGTGTGGCAGACTTAATTTCTCGAAGAGAATTCCAGGAAGATTAATATTCCAGGCTATGAGATTGTCATACTATTTCCAAGAAGCAAAATAGAAAAAGGAAGAGCCTCCTCTAAACATTTGCATTCTTTGCTATAGAAAGTTTCTGGTCTCCAAAATGCTTGCCTTCCATCAAAAAGAAAGCAAAAACCCCAAGTAAACAAGAATACTTTTTTTTTTTTTTCAAACCGTGAGTGGATGCCAAGACATAAGCAGAGAGGAGAAATTTGGCTCTAATTTTTACAATTCCTTCTAATCCAGCTGTAGGCTCCAGTTTTGAGTGAGAATCCTCCATCACAGATACTTGCTCACACAGCCTTGTGACCTGAATTGGACTTAGCTCATTTCTACAATTCATGCAGCCAAAGTCCACTGTAGGACAAATGTCCTAAATAGTACTTTCAACCTTATTTGTAAAGTCAAGAGCATGTGCCTGAAGTGATTGCTGTAATAAAATTATCCTACTGACAATTCAGTCAAATTAAGTGGAATTGAAACAAGTGGATTTCTGATGTGAATACTAAAATTTAAGTGGATAAAGAATGATAAAGTCATAATCCATATAGTTTTCATTCTATTTAAACACTGAACATTTTATATGAAGCTCTTCACATTACATTCTTGGCATAAGGGTTTCTAAAGTGAAACTATTTTTCTAAAAAAGAAAAAAAAATTCTAGTAAGAAGAATAATTGAACATTGTTGTGTTATTTCAATGCTACATATGTATTTGATAAACACGAATGGTTTTAGCCTAAAAGATTTGAAATTGTCCCTTTAGCATATAACACACACAAAAAAATGTGAGTTTCAGGTATATAGTATATGTTTATTTTTGTTTTATCGTATTTAAGAAAAAAAATTTTTTTTTTTCCCCTCCCAAAATCCTTTTCATTGGTCTTCAGGTGCCGTTAAAATCTCACCATTTGTCTGAAACCATAGATAGACAACTCGGGGCAGAAGAAAAGAGAAAATTCAATTTTCCCCTCAGTTTTGGAATATTTTTCTGACTGATACATAACTCAGAAGGATGAAATCAGCACTTTTCAGAATTGGTTTCGTTGGCTGAAGCACATCTGATGATCATTTGCTTTGCACTGAATAGCTAAGGAATGTGGAAAGGCAGGCAGCATGTTTCTAAACAAAGCCTTCTTCAAAGAGCAAGTCAGAATCGGGAATTCTGTTTCAACTTGTTATTCGATAAAACATGCTAGATGAATGATGCATACATTTTCTCTAAATACATTAATAAGACTCAACTTCTCCCTTTTATAAATTAGGCCATTTTTCTTACGTTCTTAAATAATTTTATTGGAGAGTGGCAAATGATTTATAAATGAAAAAAGCTAGTGTTCTCAGTACAGGAATGTGAAGACTGTCCTGTATATTCAAACAGAGAAAAGCAAAAGAGAGGAAAAGAACTGTGGGAATACAGTGTACCTGAGGCAGTATCAGATTAAAATACTGTAAGGACGGTGCTAGAAATATAAGAGGACAGAAGCATGGCTGTGCTGTTCTGTATGCTTTACTTAGCCAAAAACTAGTTTAGCTCTTTAAACAAAAATAGAATTAAAGTACTCAGCGATTTTACTATTTTGATATTTTATTTTATTTTTTTAATTTTCATGGCTAACATATATTACTCAAATATTATTTTTAATTTAGTTTAATTACAAATAGTTTAGGATTTAGTAAATGCCATTTAAAATATCAGAATATTTCAAATATAGAATTTTAATTAAAACATCGAACTCGAGGAAAATAGCAAGTAAAAATCTGATTTTTGATAGCATGTTTTACAAAAAAAAATACAAAATGGGGGAAGGATTCAGAGGGAAATACTCTTTAAATCTTTTTTTTTTTTTCAATCTTACAGACATTAAATAATTACCTAATTTGAAAATTATTTTTTCTCATTGCTATTTTATTTCTTCCAAGGACATTATAATTGTAACAGACCTAATGTCTGAAATACACAGTTCTGGTCCTAAACAAGATACCATAAAACTAATTTTTATCCAAGCTAAATCTAATACAGCCAAGTTTTTAGTAAAATGAAGTGGTAAACTTGTGCAGTTGGGATATATTGCACTGTTGTAGTTTGATTTATTATTAAGTGGCCACAGAGCATACAGTTCCAGTAGAGAAAAATGACAAGAAGATAAATATTATTCTGCTACTGCAATTGCTGAATGAATACAGTAGCTTGCTCGCATCAAATATTTGCTAGAGTCTATGTAAATAAGAACTACTCTAAACCTCTGAATCTCAGTCAAAACTATCAACTCAGTTCTCTCTAAGTAATTCCACTGAGAGAAATTAATTTACAGAAAATTTAGACCTAAATATTTTACATTTTCTAGTGGGACCCCCCCAAAAAAAATCTTCTTTTCACATTTGCTGAAAAATTACTTCATTTCTTTGATATTTAGGGCTGTAATTAAATGGCACGCACCTATCTCAAGGAAAAACTTGGTTCACTAGAGTACCAACTCAATTCCTCCTGAGAATCTTTCAACAGATTACAATAAAAATTAGGTCAAGTGCTTAAATGTTAAAAAAAAATATGAAGTAAACATTGTATGCTTAAATTTAAAGATTGAAATGTATGAATTACCTTTTTACTTCTTTGGCATCACTTGCAATGAAGAATCCTAAAGTACCTTCTTGAATCTTGACATGGTTTCCCGGATTGATTAATATACTGCTCAGTGAAACAAAAAGGAACAAATAAAAAACAAAATCATGAGTTTAAATTACTTTTAACTGAATGTTCCAAAGTGGTTTAATTAAATGGTTTATAGGGGACCCACTAGTTAGGAAATGTTACAACGAATTTTTAAGTCATTCTACTTTGAAATTTCCAATCAAATAACAATTTTCACAGGCCATTGCTTTCACAAAACCTAAAATTTGAGATAGTCTTGTACCTTCCCTTGAAATAATATCATTTGAATATTTATATCACTGCATTCTTATCCTTTGCATTAAATATAAGCTATATAAAACAATAAAAATAACAATCCCCTCAGAAACATCATGTGTGAAGCTGACCATTTCAGCTCTCTTGCTCTACCATGCAAAGTGGTGAAAAAATTCACAATATGGTGAAAAGAGAAGAAGCAGGCAACCACCACTCAGTAACAGTACAAAAAGTCATTTATGAAGCTAAACCCTTTTATGCAACCTTTTGCCAATTTGTAATGAAACAGAATGTTAATGGGACCCCTATCCGGACACACAATGTTATTGTTTAAAATCATAAATACGCGCATACACTCAAGGGGAATGGTACAAGACAACCAGCCATGGTAGCTGAAAAACATACAATGAATGAAGATTTTTAAAATACTGCTATGGAGCTATGGAAGAACAAAAATAACCAAAACCACACTGACAGAATAGCCTTAGCTATATTTGATGGAGGAAATAAGTGAGGTACCCTGTGTTTCCATATGAAACATCCTTTGCATTTTCAAGATTTAGCATTTGATTTTCGTTAACGTAATTTGTAAAGTACCAGGCAATATATCTGCATACAGAGACAGATATTAATATATTCTGCAGTAAGTTTTTATGACTTGTACTATAGCTAAACTTTTGATTTGATAAAGAACTTTAAAAAGCTTGTCAAATGTTCTTGCTTTTTTGTCTTCTCTTAAAGCTTAGCTTTTGCAAGTCAACGTGTAGTAATGGCACACATATATAATTTATAGTACAGAGACTTTCAGCAATTTAAATTCTTATGGATTTAGTAAACATTGATTTTTGGGAAAGATAGTTACACAAAACGAGATAAGGCATGTACCTGGATGGACATGCGCTACTAACACTGGAAGGTCAAAAATCTTTGATGTTATTGTTAGGAGTAAAAATGGGTCTCAGCAGATATCATGTTCAAGATGGCATTTATTATTTATACATTATTAATAAACGAATATGACAAACAATACACCTGGAAGTTTTATATGAGTTTGTGTGACACACACACACAATGCTTTATGAAAAGAAGACTTAAGTTGCAATATTAAGCACTAGAAGTCAAGAATTCAGAAATTAATCATGAAACCATAATTCAGTCCCCATTACACAGGCATTAATACCAAATCTTAATTTAACATCCACAAATTTTTCTCACAATCTGGGACTTCATTCAGTGGTGTTCTATTGCCGTTACCGCAGGTATTTTATTGTCATGTATTTTATTTTGCTTTAAAAGCAGCATCATTTCTTTCTTATGTGTTTGTCTGCAGTGTTCATCACTATATCGCGCAAGTGCTTCACAAATACTTAATGATTTATTTTACTAAATCAAGAAAAATTAAGATACACTACTATCTCATTGTAAAGATGACAGATTATGTCACTATGAGATACCGTAGCTATTAATTTCGGACATTTGGGATGCCTCCAGCTTGCTTTTTCTAAGTATGCAGCATTGCATAGCTCCTTATACAGTTTCTAGGGTCTTTTGTTGCAATTAAGAATGCCCAGCATTTTCTAAAGCCCAGCATCGGGTTCCGCAAATGAAAAGCACTTAACCAGAGGTCATCTGTAGAAAGTTTAGTTAAAATCATTAGCTTACTC